GATAAATATATGGGTGTTTAGGTGCTTGTGCAATCGGGGTTATATGAAGGTATCTGGCTTGGTAGGATGGGTTGTTCATTTTTGTTAAGCTGCTCCTGGGCAATTCTTGGGGTAGAGTGTTTATAGGGATGAATACATGGGCACTTCCCGCAGGCTGCATTCAACCGTCGTATGGAGATTGCAATCAAGCAGAAGAAGGAATGCTTGCTTTCGATCAAATCCGGTTTCTATAGCGAGGAGAGGATGAGGACTGAGCTCAAGTTCAGGTCGCTCCTAGCCTGCACCCGAAGTTGGGCCCCCTATACTTTCCTTAAAGCACTTTCTTTTTCTGGGTCCCCATGGTAAGGATTTATACCTGGCTGGTAGTTATATAGGGTTCATATTGGGGCCCCCCATTGAGGGAAACTACAATAATGAGTTACTTGTCATTTTGTCGGGGTGCTGATTCCAGTTGCAGCTAAGGCAGCGCATAAAGGCCATTGTCAAGTATTGCACGGCCACAAAGGCCAGGAGGAAGCTGCTGACCAGGCCTGCAAGCGCTGATGCTTTGAAGGGATGGATCTGGGATGTGGGTTGGGAAGTATAGGTTCGGGAACCCCTGAAGGAAGGACAAGTACGAAAAGCATGTGCGTGAGTATTGGGTCGACGTTGAGACGATTGGCCGACTTGATACGAGTCTCAGCGAAGAGCTCAATGAGACCTACGTGATCGTGGATGACAATGACTGCGAGCTCCCCGCGCCTGCGCTGGGAAAGACTACCACGGCCTGTCTTGAGCTAGACGGGGATGATACGGATGAGGATGAGGATGAGNNAGAAGGGTTCCAAGGGTACTCCAAGCCCAAAGTCCCGCCGCAGATCCATCCTGAGGAAGAGCGGTGGAAAGACCAGAAGTGCTAGGAAGGCTGCGAAAGCAAAGGAGGAGGAAATCGAAGCAGCATTAGAGGCCTCATATCTAGTATTACAAATGTATCTAGCATGATTGATTTTGTTTGTAAGCTGTTACCCCAAAATCCCAAAACCTGTCAGGAGATGGACCGCATCCCCACAATCCTCACCGAGATCCTCAAGCTCCGCATCAAGATGGACAACACAATCGAGTTGCTTAGGAAGAACAAGCATGAGGATGCAAAGAAGCTACTGGGGCTCATTATTGAATTTCTTCCATGTCAGTTGTGGCCTACATGAATAGAAAGCTGTCTACCCAGGAGCTTGATGACCATGACCGAGCAGGCGGACAAGCTCATGCTGCTGCACGATGATTTGGCTGAGCTAAAGGCTGAGCATGGCCATGGGTGCCCTGACAAAGCGAGCCTAGGATGATTTAACATATGTTGTGTAATGGAGGGGAGGAGGCTGAACTAAATTAGTTTCTAGACATCCCTCAGGGCTTTGGAGAAGCTGTGCAAGCTCAACTCTGACGTGGAGAAGTTGTACCCGACTTAGTAACCCCTGCAAGCCTCTGTGTGCAATCAGCTGCAGTATTCTGTCGTCTGCGCTCGCCTTGGTTGACAGGTCGTCCCGTGTGGTGATGGAAGAGAAGAAGTTAAAGAGGACTCATGGCCCCAATGCGTAAAGATGCTTATTGCACTGTTGTATAAATGCGATCCTGTAATTGAGGACGATCTTGCGCCCCAGCAAGAAGAAAGGCAAGGATGATGGCGATGCTGATGCTGATTCTACGGATGAAGAGCCCAAGCCAAAGTCTAGGGCACCAAAGGCCAAGGCAAAAGCCAAGGGAGCCGCAAAGGGTGCTAAGAAGAAGTAGGCTACAAGTCCTTATGGGTCCTATATAGCGGGGCTTTAGAACCACTTTTCTGGGGGAAAGTTTCAGGGGGCGATATGCTTCTCACCACTCGCACGCGTGTCAAAGACATGGTGTGGACGCAAGCTGAGCAGCTACCCTGGGAGCATCAGGAAAACGATTGTGCATTATTGCCGAAATCTTCCCTGCATCCCAAACCCTAAAGCGAGCTTCCCATATATTTCTGCGCAGGTGCGGAAAATGCATCGTCTGGAGATATTGGATCTGCGTCGGCATCCTTGGCTACAGCACGGGGATCTGGAGTTGTTGGGCCCAAAAGTTTTGCATCCTGTTGAAGCCCCACCCTACTATAAACCCCTAGCCTTAATAAACTATCTATACCCCATGTATCCCCTAAAGTAGTTTGAATGGGTATGTATCAGCCCACAACTATTATTCTAGCCTGGTTTGTTTAGTTGCCCTGAAGGTTTCAGACCGGCTCCTATGCAATATTGTTGCTGGCTTCATCGATGAATGCAGAGAGGCTGATCCTGACGTAGCCGAGACCCTTCAAAGCTCCAAGCTTTTGCAAAAGTTGAGTAAGGCGTCGAAAACTCGGCATGAAAACCGATCCGGGGAAGCTTTTGAGGCTGCAGGCTTGGCAGCCCCAGTACCAATTCATATGAAGGATGTTGGGGCCAAATTTCAACATCCGATCCTCAAGGTGACAGACTTTCTACAAGCTTTCGCGACGCATCGGAAGTTGCCTCTGCTATGGGGATCCAAAACATATAGCTCGCGAACTGAAATCTTGCCAAAATTCTGGAGGCGCTTCAAGGCGCACGATCCGCAGCATCCAGTTTTTCAGATCCATGCAAAGCAATTGGCGCAGGTGCTGCCATTGCAGATTCACTCGGATGAAGGACAAACCCTCAAGAAGACTGGTGTAATGGTGATTAGCTGGCAGTCGCCGCTAGGCTTTGGAACAACTATGCAAGACGACTCCCCAGAAGCTATGTGTCTCAACTTTATCGGGAACTCGTATTCTACGCGGTTCTTGTTTACAGTTTGTACCAAGAAATCCTATCGAAAGAAAACTGCCTTCGTACTTGATCGCATCTTCGAAGTCTTGGTGGATGAGCTACATAGCCTTTTCCACGAAGGTGTCCTTCTAACAATTGGTGGTGAGGAGATGCGATTCTTCATAGCTACCATTGGAATGAAAGGCGATTGGCCCATTCATGCTCGTGTTGGTCATCTTACTCGACATTTTGCGCGCAAGGGTGTTTACAAGGAGTCTGCTACAAGTGGATTTTGCCACCTTTGCAGGGCTGGAGAAACCGATTATCCTGCGTTTGATTTCAGTGCTGGTGCGGCCTGGCGAGGCTCATATCTGACATCAACTCCATGGGCTGGTGAAGGTGGCCCCTTGTGCAAGCTGCCGCAATCCCCAAAGAAGGAGTTCATGCACAAGTTCGATTGCTTTCATACTTGTCATAAAGGGATCTTCGCTGAGCTCGCTGGAAGTGCTATAGCCAAGGCCTCATTTGCTCAAAGGGTTGACCCGAACCATAAACCCTTAACAAGTATAGACCCTAACAAAACCTTGCAAATCCTACATAAACCCCATATGAGCCCTATATAAAAACCATATAAGCCCCTATATATATACATATATATATATACAATATAAACCCCATAAGCCCAAAACATATGAACACTTATGAGGCCCATTAATCTTTGCCCAGGTTGTCCTTACTGATTACAAGTTGGTGGGGCCTGGCGATTTCCAGACGCAGCTGGACCGGATTTATGAGTTGCTTCAGGCGTTTTGCAAGGAGACACAAACACCGCTTCATATGGATGGGATTACTCGAAATTCCTTGGCGTTTCCAGGGGACTATGAGTACCCAGCAGGGTGGCTGGAACTTTTGATTACATATTTTTATTTTCTGTTGTTTATCTTTGTTATTGAAGGTTTCTGTTTCTAGTTTTGGGGTGACCTGCACTTCTTTTTGTTGATTAGGTTACAAAACCCTCAATATCAGGATGTGGTTCAAGGGGGCTGATACCTCTGCAGTCTGCCTCTTTTTCGAGCAGTACCTGCTGCTGCATATGAACGACATATCGGATGACAGGGAGTACTTCTTAAGTATGTTGTCGGCCTTCAAGAGTGCCAATGCTTTCTTGAGAACACTCTACAGAAGCGGTTTGTGGTTATCGCGAGAGCGATGCCGTCAGGCTGCGCAAGCTGGTGTGGATTTCATTCGAGCTTACCGTGAAATTGCATCGATTGCTTACTCACTGGATCGCACGCGCTTTAAGCTGACACCAAAGTTGCATGCATTCTTCCACATAGTGGACCACTTGTGTGTTGCTTACGAGTCTGAGCGTCGCTGGACACTCTCGCCGTTGAGTGAGAGTGTCCAGATGGATGAGGACTTTGTGGGGCGGATAAGCTCTTTGACGTGCACGGTCTCTACTCGGAAGGTCCATCTCCAGTCCATACGCAAATACTTGACTAATGTATGGTCACATGTGCGCCCGAAGAGGTGCTTCTGATCGATCGGCTGGGATGGCTGAAGAAAAGATCATGCTTTCTGCTGTTTTGTGGAAACCCAAAACGGTCACTAACCCAACAACCTTTCATGCAAACGCTCCTTTCGTCTGTTGCCCATTATTTCAGGCTACCAGGTT